CTTACCAGACAAATACTCCAATTTATGGTGCACAGTCTCCCACATCCTAGAATATGATTGGGCTTTGGCCGGGCATAATGATCTCTCCTACTGATTTTATAACGTCGTAACTGTGTTGGAAAATTGGAAACCATTAACTCAGGTGGTGGAGGCTACAATGAAGTCAACTGGAGAGAAGTACGCATTGAAAGTTATGGATAAACAACACATTCTAAAGGAGCGGAAGGGTCAGTACATTAAGCGCGAACGGCTGATCCTAGACCAGCTTGACCATCCGGGTGTCGTAAAACTCTGCTTTACATTTCAAGACGAGCATTCCCTTTGTATCCTTTCCTTTGAGCTGTTTGGGGCCGATGCCTTCTTTCTTCCTTCCCCTTTTCCCTTTTCACCATAACTAAGTAGTAAGTATTGTTTCTCCAATCCTCCAGGACATCCGTTAAAATTGGAATGATACAGAGAAGATTAGCATGGCCCCTGCACAAGGATAACACACATAAATCGAGAAACGGTTGAAAAATTTTAAGAAGTATTGTTTCTGCATTGCCACACTCTCTTCCCTGGGAAGGCCAGGGTTGTTTGTTGTAAAATCAGGTTCGACAAAATAGTATGGACCGCCGAGCTGGTGGTTTAAGGTCCCTTTTCTGTCATCAGGGGTTGGATGGAATAGGGTCATATGGATTCAATGGTTGGGGCCGGTTGTGCAAAGGTCCCAAGTGAAGACTGTGGCATACTACGATAAAGTCGGGGCCTGAGTGAAGGCCCAGGTGTGCAGAACTAACTCCCCGGCCCTAAGCGAAGGCCCTGGCAAGTGGAAGCATGTGGCAGCTGTCCGGAAGCTTCTACCGGTAGGCCCAGCCCGGAGAAAGTAGCTTCAGCCTCCTCCGACGAACAAAAACAAAGGAAGCTGGGCCAGACATTCATTCTTCACTTAGAGGATTGCTGGACGATGTGCGAAGGCTGTCTCTTATACACATCTAGATGTGTATAAGAGACAGGCGCAAAGGTCCCAAGTGAAGACTGTGGCATACTACGATAAAGTCGGGGCCTGAGTGAAGGCCCAGGTGTGCAGAACTAACTCCCCGGCCCTAAGCGAAGGCCCTGGCAAGTGGAAGCATGTGGCAGCTGTCCGGAAGCTTCTACCGGTAGGCCCAGCCCGGAGAAAGTAGCTTCAGCCTCCTCCGGCGAACAAAAACAAAGGAGGCTGGGCCAGACATTCGTTCTTCGCTTAGAGGATTGCTGGACGATGTGTGGTATTTTTGGCACAGCAGCAAGCAGCTGCATCTGGTGCTAAGACGAAGAGGAAGGAGGAGCAGCCATGTCAAAGTCGCCCCACCAGCGGTGGCCATAGCTACGCTAGGATGAAGAAGGGGTGTGTAGAGCCACGGGCGATCAGGGAAGAGGACCGCGATGGGACAGGTGGACTTACCTGGCGGCGGCCAGGGAGCACACATGTAGTCATCGGACTCCACAGTGTTGTTGGGCGTTAGGAAGGTGGGCAGTGAGAGAGAAGAGATCGAGAGAGGGAAGTAGTCCACAGTGTTGTTGGGCGTTAGGAAGGTGGGCAGTGAGAGAGAAGAGATCGAGAGAGGGAAGTAGGATTGTATGTAGAGTGAGTAGGATTGTAGTATGGGTGGTCACATCATAGGAGAGCAGCTAACGTGTTGTTGTATTGATAAGAGGAGGTGAGATCAGGAGACTCAAGTACAATTGTGTTCTCATTTGGTGTGTTCTTGGCTTGTAAATCTGCTTTCGTCTTGGTTCAATTAAAAATATAACATGCATGTTCTGCTTTGTGTTTCTCGCAGCTAAGAAAATCTGTGTTCTCATGGAAGGATTTCTTGCATTTGGTACCAGAGCGTGGTTTCCTGAGTAGCACACCTACATTGGGAAATCAAGATGGATGGTGCAAGCAGTCGTTGTTGGCAGCGTTGTTGAGTCCTCGCCGTCAGGGAAGTGATCTTCTGCGATAGGGTAGACATCATCAATCCGCTCGTCTTCTATAAGATGCAGGACACCATCAATACTACGATTGCATGATTGATGTTCGTCATCAACCAGTTTGACTTGACGCCGAAGCACGTTGCAGGCTCTTCCAATCAGTTTGCAGATGCTCTTTCTTGGCGTCCGGATATCTGTGTGATGATCCATCACACTTTCCTATTGGATGACAGTTTACAGATGCACTCCGTGTGTTACATGCTGCGCCTGCACACGAGGGCCATTTTCCAGGCCCTGCGTCCCTCAGGCTGAAAGCCTGAAAACCAGGGCCTACAGGCCCCGTGTCTGTTCAGCCCGAAAGCCTGAAAAACAGGGGCCTACAGACCCTGTGTCGTTTCAGACTAAAAATGGCAATAGCCTTTTTAGCCTGAAACGAAGGGCCATTTTCGGCCGTTCATCAGAACGACCGGCCCTGAAACTCAGGCACCGAACCAGGGTTTCGGGAAAAAGGCTATTCTTAGCCTGTTCCCACGACAGCCTCAGCAGATGCTGCAGCTCCAGCCCCTGGCACACTTCGGCATGGGCAAGAGCAGCCTCCTCGGCCTGGCTCGCCCTGCAGGCAGTCAGGAGGCAGGCTGAGGTAGTACATAGGGACTTCCCATGCACTTCACGAGTAGCCAGGAGGCAGTCAGTAGTCTTCAGGATTCAGCAGCAGCACTCTGGAGGGAGCGCTGCAGGAGTAGTAGTGGCGTTAGCATTAGTCTTCAGCGCTGGGCGCAGTAGGTAGCTGTAGTCTTCAGCGCTGGGCGCCATAGCTTGGATAGTACTAGAGAGAGAGAGAGATTGGGTGGAGGCCAGGAGTACCTACCTGCAGCGCCGTTGCTCCAGCTTCGTCTTCGAGGTACCTGCAGCACAGCGCCAACTTCACAGGTTAGTATCTGGCTCGTGACAGAGAGAGAGTTCTTCTTCTTCCTCTTCTCAGTCCACCATCTCCCTCTCACCCTCTCATTATCTGACTTCACTGCATCAGCAGACTACGAGAGAAAGAGAGAGAGAGAGAGCTTGGTGACATTGGATCCAGACTCGACGTTTGGGCTTCAGACATTGTAACGAGGGTTATTTGGGACTTGTGACGAAGACTTGGTGTTGACGACATTTCAATCTCCCCCCCTCTTCTTCGTCTGATCCCCTCCTCTTCGTCTGTGTATGTCTGGACCTGGCGCTTCCTTCCTGTGTACAGCGCCAGGCTCCTTCACACCTTGTGATGGACACGATGTATGTTTGGTCTGTGTTCAAACATTGATTGGGCTAGTAATTAGCATTCTAGCATTCTGCTTCGCTATCTTATACTATGTGGATGAGGTCAGTCCCAGTCAGGTTAGGATTTGTATCTAAGTCTTCCCTGCGCTATTCAGCACCATTTTGTATGTATCGGAATGCACATTGCTTGTTGAGATTCTACTTGCACTGCATTGTTCATTCAGTCCTTTTTATCACATTGCGGATCCTCGGTTTCTATGTACATCGCCCAACTGGGCATGTGACACCGTGTGAGGGTACAAGTCCAATCCCAATATCTCATGATTCTGCAAGGCACTCTCTTTGGATACACCAACGGGCCACTACTGCATCGCCGACGGCTTCTTACTTCTCCATACACATGGTAAGGACTCATTTTGTGTGCCCTATGACCGACACCTTTGGTCACGGTTACTCATAAAGTTTCATTACGCTCGCCTCGCTGGCATCTTATAGTCAACCGCACGGTTGCTCAGCTTAAGCAGCGATTTATTCGGCCTGGCTTGGTGGCGGATGTCACCAACTATTGCGAGTCATGCAAGATTTGGTGATGATGCAAACCACACAACCGTAATCCCTTGGCGAGTTGCGACCATTACCTATGCCACGGGGACCCGGCCCCTCTCTTGCTATGGACATCACCGGCCTGTTCCCCGGTGATCGGTTTGACCACGACAGCACGTTCACGGTTATTGACTGCTTGAGCAAGTATGCTGGCTTCCTCCTATGCAAGTATCATGCCACGACCCTTAAGTTCGGATGCATCTGGCATACTGGCTGGATTTGCAGCCATGGAGTATCGGAGGATATCGCTGGTGACTGTCACACTTGGTTCTTGTCGGACTTCTGGGACGATACTTTGACGGTTGTTGACTTCTTGAGCAAGTATGCTCACTTCCTCCTATGCAAGTATCATGCGACGGTCATGAAGCTCACATGCATCTTGCATAATGGCTGGATTTGCAGCCATGGAGTACCGGAGGATATCGCTGGTGACCATGACACTCAGCGCTTGTCAGACTTCTGGATGCTTCTCCTAAAGTGATATGGAATCGAACTGAAGCTGAGTTCATCTCGCAGCGGGCAAAACAGACAAAGCAGATGATGCTTCACACACTGATGCGTCTGGATCAGAAGAATGGGTTGAGCACCTTCCCGACGTTGAGTTTGCCTACAATACGTTTCTACATCTGGGATCAGCATCTCACCATTCGAGTTTCATCACGACAGATGGAAAGGACGACTCTTTGCGAATGCCCTTCTTTTGCTGGCATCCAACACTGACGTCCCATGCACACCCGCCTCCATTCGGAAGATGCAGGACCTGGTTGCCAAAGCTTGTGCATCCATGCAAAAGGCACAATCGGCATCGAGCACCGGGCCCTTTCCGCAAAGGCGATCTTGTATGGGTTTCCTCTGAGGAGCTCACCCTCGAGCAAGACATATCGCAGAAACTCTTGCCTAAGAGAATTGGACCTTGGCATATCACTCCCGCAACTGGTGATCAGCCCGACGGACGTCGTTAATCATTGATGTGGCCCCTCACCTCAATATTCATCCAGTCTTTCATGCCTCTTAAGCTGGATACTTTCATATTGGCTGAAAGCGATGACTTTCTAGATCATGTTCGCAGGATCTGCCCTCCATGGATGGATTCCAACAGGTTGAGCGCATCCTCTCAGATCGTCACTACGGTAACAAGTCAACACAGTCAGATGCAGTTCTCGAATTGCAACCGCAAGGACACCTGTCGGCTTACTCGTGCGGGCCTACCGCACCGGACATTCTTGTGGACCGTGAGCATAGAGGACATGCCAGGGAGGCTTTGCGGCGACTGCCCGCCTGCTCTACTCGGACTACTGTTTCCTCCTTTGGACCGACAGCTTCGCCGTTGCTGGTATGCTCAGTTCTTCAAGGAAGGGGGGATGTGGCATAGTCAGATCCCACATGGGCCCTTTTGGACCCGGCGTTGTCCCAGTTCTGGGCCTTGGTCTGCACGGACGTCACATTGGGTGGTTTCTCAGGATTGCAGCACCTTTTTGGCCCTTAGAGACCCAGGTAGATGGTCTGGGGTGGGGATGTGTTTTTTGGGGTTGGTAATTTGTTTCTGATATTTATTTTGGACTTTTGTCTGTTCCCGGTTTTGTCGGTTCGGAATGTGTCGTTTGGAGTCTTTCCACCTGTTGTCCAGGTTTGTCCGGTCTGGATGTGTCATTTCGACCATTGTCCTGCTCTGGGCACTTTTTCATGCCCAGCGGCTGTTGCGAGGCCTGCAGCACCAGGTTTGGGCTGAACCGTTTTTCTGAGGTTCAGCCTGGTTTGTCCTTTTGCAGGACTGGGTGCAGCTCATGTTGCTGGCCTAGTGGCTGGACCACTTTCACCGCCTGCTTCCAGGACCGCCGATCACTGGATCGATCCGGCAGCCCTAGATCCAGGCCACCTCTAGGACCAGAAGGCCCAACACTATAGATAGCTGGGCCAGTCGCAGTGTTCTGGTAGTTGCACTTCAGCATGCTGCTTTGATGAGCGTTAGAGGAGCACCACTAGAGTATCGTAGTGGAGTTAGGAGGATAGCGGAGCAGAGACGAGCTGCCACTGGGGAAACTCACCTGAGGGTGCCATAGCTGGATGTCCATCGCGAGGCTACAGAGGACCTTCACTTGCAGCACAGGACAGCTCAAGACTTCGTCTTTCGCTGGTCAGTATCTTGTTATGTGTGTGTGTGTGTGTGTGTGTGTGTGTGTGTGTGTGWGAGAGAGAGAGAGAGAGAGAGAGAGAGAGAGAGAGAGAGAGAGAGAGAGAGAGAGAGATGTAAGACTTGGTGACTAGCTTCGAGCTATGCCCAGAGTTGAATGCAACATTTGGACTGAGACTATTTTTGGGGAGTATTGAGAGGGACCATTATCGTTTGGCATATACATTGAGTTGCAGTCTCTTCTTCTTCTCCCTGTTTTCTCATTCCCCCACCTCCGTCTATGGGATTATCTTGCTATCAGTGTGGGGCAAGGCGGCCCCTTTCTCCTGTGAGCGATGCGACCTTGCCATCTCAGTGCATGATGATGTATGTGTGTGTCATGTCCTGAGTCTGGTGAGTCAGATCCATGTACTTTCAGTCTTCCACTGTGTCACATTGTTATTTCTCACACTTTGGGGGTTCCTTGGTTCTGCACTACGCCTGTCTCAGATAGGCATGCAACAACTCGTTCTCCCAGGTGTGAGGCTTCAGGACTTGGCCTGTCGATAAATCAAGGCCGGCCGTAAGCGAAGGCTGTGCCTGGGCAGACTGGATCTGGGATAGGAGCTCAGCCCTAGTCCCTACATCCCAGTTAGTAATATGGGCTGGGACCCAGACTCAGACGGGTAGGCAGTAGGGACTGCCTGCTGCGTCTTGGACCCTGGCGTCCAGACAACACAAAAGATGTCGGGGAAAGGTACATTCGGGTTGTAGCGTCACACTTCAGTGCTGGAGCAACAGGTGCAGCCAGCAAGCATCGTGGGTGGAAGAAGGCAGCCGAGCACTAGCTGTCTAGCCTGCGCTTGCCATAGCTGAAGGAAGGCAGCACAGAACAGTGGGAGCAGGTGGGGAGGAGGAAGGAGAACCCCAGTGGGGACAAGTTGACCTGGTGTTGGCCGAGGAGTGCCATATTTGATCAAACTCGTCAGTGACATCTG